TTTGGATGGAAACAGCCTCCCTGGGAGCTTCATTTGAATAGAAGGAAGGGGGCTCCCTAAGGGAGAAGGAGCATGGGCCCCAAACCTTCATTTCCCCCACCCCAGCACCCCACATGAAGTCTCCTCACAGAAGCAGACCCACATGGGTCAATAAGCCCCAAAGCAGCCGTTTTCCTATAATTTTCCCTCCTCTGGGCCTAATGTGCCCAGCAGCTGCCCCCAGTTGTGCCCCTGGGCAGCCCATTTGCTTCTGCTGAGAGTGCACAGACCTGAGAGGCCACAACCTCATGTTTTTCGAGTTTTGTGATGTCAAAGATGACTCATTAGGTTGACGCCAGCTTTACTGATTAATCTTACTTATGCACATGTCTTATTTCTCCCTGAAGGTTTGCTGGGAGCATTTATTTCTGCTACACTAGGAACAAAATAGCTGGCAGGTCTCTGGAGCATTGCATCTTGCAGACTCCGTCTCTTTGGCCCTCCACATTAATTTCCATCAAATGACACCAAGGGGCCAATATGTTGCACACACACCTTTGTTTTGACAAAATTTTTGCTTTCATTTCTAATCATTTGTGTAAAAAGCTCTGGATTGGGTTTGTTCAGACCTTTTGGTCAGGGAATTGATCTCCAAACCATTCCCAAATTGCTTCCACTTTAGAATCTTGCTGAGCCGGGCATTTTCTCCCCTGGACCAAGGGCCTCAATTCTTTTATCAGTCAGGAAACAACACACACCACACTGGCTGTGAATCCCAACCCTCCTCCCCAGTAAGGATTTTAACTTTCTTATGTTAAAGCCGCGATGCTCCGGCATTACTTGTTTGAGAGTGCTGCGCGTGGTTTTCTTGAATGTTGTTTTGTTAAGCTGGGATTCTTCCTGGGGCCTTCGCGGATTTCTGTACCTCTGCTTCCCGCTCCCTACCTGTATCACTTCTGTGCTGGCCGGGCGAGATCAGCGAGCTACAAACAAAACACCACCTTTCTGGAGTGGGGAATGTGAGACAGTGTAACTTTGTGAAAAAAGTTACCACTGGACTCCACAACTGTTATTCTGGTGTGTAAGACAGGCCAAACCGTTGGAAGAGAAATATCCAGGAGGCGGAGGTAAGGCAGGGAATGCCAAACCTGGGGCGGCACTGAGGCCGGGAGTGAAGGAGGAGAGGGGCTGCCCCAGGCCGGGGGTGGGGAGTGGGGTGGTCAGAAACGCCGCCCCTGATCTGGACGTCCCAGAGGCTCCTCTCAACATGTGCAAGGTCCCCAGGGAGGTGAGGAGGCAGTTTCGTTCCTGGCTCACCCCTGACGATTCGGTTCTGGGGGTCTGAGGGGGCCCAGAGTCTGTGACAAGTACACCCTCGGTGCTGGTGCAGGTCGCCTCGGACCACCCGTGAGGACGCTGTGCCAAGCTAACAGGAGTGTCTGGCAGGCCCTCCAGGGCCTCACGCGCATGCTCACGCTGGGAAAGCCTCCTGCTGTATTTAACAAGTATTATTTACGGAGCGGGGGAGAAGCTGCTGCTCAGGTGAAAAAGCAAGTGCCATACTTAGCTGCTGTATGTTTCTTAAGCTGCGTTAGCCTTGCAGACAGCTGAAGCGTCAGTGGCAGATGGGCATGCGGGTTAGAGACCAGCAGCGTTGCCCGTGAATGGCAGGGCAGCCCTGAGGGCTCTGCAGCAAGGCCCTGCCGTCTTCCACAGCCAGCCACTCTCCTGAGACGCAGCTCTTGGCCTGCTACTGGGTCTCAGATGCAACACTTAACCACGGCGCCAAGTTTCCACTGACCCGAGCTGCCCGTCATGAACTGGGTATTATCTGACTCACTGAGCCATGACATCGGGTGTGCACGGCAACACCCCAACACGGACTGGGAGGGTATATACACGACGGGCCGGAGCAGCCCTGAAGGTACAATAAGTTACATGGAGAAGTGGCTCAGATGCCCACGGTCCCCACTCCTGCCGCTGTGCCCTCTCCCAGCCCGCACTGATGGCCTCATGGGGAGTCCCCTACGCTCTGTCGACAGAGGAAAAGACCGAGGTCCGGTTTACAGGTGCTTTGCAGGATATGTAGGCACCACCCAAAAGTGGACAGCTGCAACCATACGGCTCCTTTCCGGGACATTCCTGGAGAAAAGTCACGAAGGGAAATCATTCTAGTGGGCAGGATTTTGAGGACTGCCCCTGGCTGTTTACTTTGCTTGGAAGGAGAATTTGCCAGACGTGGTTACACGCCGATTCGTGAGCTGTAGCTAATGGTTTGACTGCATTGTCTGGGACTCAGAGGAACATGTTTGAATAACAAGTGACCAAGAAATTTGGGGAAGAGGTATACAGAGAGAACTCTCTGAATGGGCAAAAATGCGAATATACTTGTGCCCTAGGTAAACACTCACCAAAGGGTGATCTGGGCAGAGGAGAACTTTAATAAACAGGTTGGCGGATGGCCCATTCTGCGGGTACCACTCAGCCTCTTTCTCAGCCACCCTGTCAGTGCCCAGTGGGCCCCTGAACAACTGGCATGTGGCAGGCATGGAGTTTGTGTGGGATCAGCGACTGAGCTCCCACCCACCTAGGCTGCCCTGGCTGTGCCACCACCAAGGGCCCAATCCGCCAGCAGCCGCGACCAACACTGAGCCCCCAATATGGTACCATTTCCTGGGGTGATCGGCCAGATACCTGGCGGCAGGTTGATCAGGTAGGATTACTGCCCCGTCACGGAAGGGGCAGCATTTTGTCCTCATGGGGATAAACCATCTGACACGGGTTTGCTTTCCCGGCGTGCGATGTTTCTGGTAAAACTCCCACCCGTGGTTTTGCAGGGTGCCTTCTGTTCACCATCCGTTATCCCTCACAGCCTTGCCTCCGACCGGGGAACTCACTTCACGGCACAAGACGGCAACTTTTTCCTTCCTGTTCCTGAGACTTTTACGTTCGGCTGTCTAGAAGTCTTGGTTCCAGAGGAAGGAATGCCTCCACCAGGAGACACAATGATGATTCCATTGAACTGGAAGTTACGGTTGTCATCTGGCCACTTTGGGCACCTCGTGTCTCTGAGCCAACAGGCAAATACGTAGTTATGGTGTTGGCTGGGGTGACTGACCTTGACTACCAAAGGGAACTTGGACTCCTACCACAGTGGAGGTGAGGAAGAGCACATCTGGAATGTAGAAGACCCCTTTCGGTGTCTCTTAGTATGAGGACTGTAATTATTATGTGCATTTCCTTCTTTATTTTGCTACGAATATGTTTGTGTGTGTAAGATACAAGTATATACATTTGTATATATATCTTTATTTAATGTGTTAGCTCATGCAGCTGGAGGTGATTCTAACAGCTTGGTTCACTGAAACTTGGACTCAGTGCTGGCTTACATTTAATGAGGCTGAGTTGCTAGAGCTGCCCTGGCATGATACAGAGAATGGAATTTGAGGCCTAGACAGATAAGGATTTATCACATACAATCTGTACATCTACCTCCACCCATGTTCCTGGAGAAGGCCCAGGAAACACTCCCTTCACTCAGGCGTTGAGAAATATGTGAGTGATCAGAACACCTGCACCTTGAACAACTCTGTGGTTGCTTTTTTTTTTGAGTCAGCTATGATTGTAGGCGATGCTGACATTGAGACGGGCTCTCTGACTGCAGTAAGGATGAGATTTCAGAATAGTAGGGGCCAAGAGGCAGCACTGGACTGCCTGAGACACATCTACTGTAAAGGACAGCAGGGATGGATGCTCAGGCAGACAGAACGCCTTTACCCACAGAGGTCTTCGGCTGTGGCCAATTAGTTATAGTGTTCTCAAGAATGGAATACATGAACAGTCTACTACAGTATTGCTTGATCTATATAAAAATTCTCTGATACTAAAATCTGACTTGAGTCATGGATTTTCAAGCCTTTTTTACATCTAAGTTGGTTCACACTCTCAGAGCCCCTTGAATGAAGAAGTCCCTTGAGAAAAACCCTGTGTCATTTCCACAAATAAACACTGTAAATAGTATTCCAAGCCTTCTCCAAAGACATCTATAGCTGTTTAGAGTAACTGTGCATTTGGGAAAAGGAAATTGCCAGAGCTCTCCAAGATTACCAGATACCGACTCTGGGGACCCCCAAAAGCTACAGTGGTCCACCAATCAGTGTGGGAGTTGATGGTGGTCAGGTGATAGGTGGAATTTTAGCCAAAGTCTTGACTTACAGTAGGCCCTCTTGGTCCATGGATCAACTCTAGGGTTATCTTTCAAGTTTTTGAATGTATAATTGAATTAGACATACTTAGCAATTGGTGAGATACCCATATGTCCTCTTTGACCTACGAGGTGAGGATCGTCATTATAGGAATGGCTAAGGGCGAACTTCCCCTTTCTCCAGGAGCGTGAACCAGAAGCAGCGCTGCATCCCCGGGAGAATCGCAGAGATTACGGTTACCATAAAAGGCTTGAAAGGAAGAGGGGTGATGCTGACTATCACATCCCCATACAATTCACTAATTTCATCTTTGCAAAAGTCAGAAGGATCTTGGAGAATGACAGTGGACTATTATAAACTTAATCAAATGGTGACTCCAATTTCAGCTGCTGTCCCAGATAACTTTACTAAAAATAATAAACACGGTTGCTGACACTTGGTATGTAGCTATTGACCTAGCTAGTATTTTTTTCTCCATAAAAATTAATAACGATCACCAGAATTTATTTGCTTCTACCTTGCACAGTAAGTAGTACACCTTTGCACCCTTGCCTCAGAGCTATGCCAATCGCCTACTTTCTACCATATTATCGTCCACAGAGATTTTGGTCATCATGACATTTGAGAAAACACTACAGTGATCCACTGCATTGACAATAATATGCTGATCAGATCTGGTGAGCATGAAGTCACAAGTTTTTTAGGTGTCTTAGTAAGGTATAAACAAATATGACATATATCATAGGGTGGAAGATAAAATCATTCCTGGTACCAACTCTATCAGTCAGGGTTTAATCAAGAAAGAGAAATCACATATTAAGTCGAATACAGAGAGTTTAATATAAAGAAGTATTAACTCTAACAGGGCAATGGAGTAATAAGGGATTGGGTAGTAAAAAATAAAGATCACTTTAAAGAACACAAGAATAGCAAATATGAGGAACAGTCACTACTTCTGGGGATAAGATAGAGCACCCAAGGAAATGCTCCCCTAGGGCTGGGAAATCATCCTAGGGCTGCAGGGTCCATCCTGCTGGAACCCAGCCTCTCCTCCAGTCAATGGGCTTCAGATTACCAAATTGGCTGCAGTCCAAAAGTGGGGCAAAGCATTATGTTATGATCTGAGTGTATCTTTGCCCAATACATATGTTGAACCCTTAACCCCCAAAGTGAGGATATTTAGAGATGCGTCCTTTGGGAGGTGATTACTATCAGATGAGGTCATGAAGGCAGGGCTCTCATGATGGGATTAATGGTGTTATGTGAAGAGACGCAGAGAGCTTGCTCCCTCTCTCTGCCCACATGTGCACAAAGGAGAGGTCATGTGAGCCCAGTGAAATTGCAGCCATGAACAAGCCAAGAGAAGAGGCCTCAGAATGAAATCTGCCATGCTGGCACCTGACCTTGGGTTTCCCAACCTCCAGAACTGCGAGAGATAAATTTCTGTTTTGCTAAGCCACCCAGTCAATGGTATTTGTTAGGGAGGCCTGAGCTGACAGAGACAGACTTTGAGTTTTATTGGAGAGGCTGTCCTTGGAATTCCATTCATCTCTCTTGGCTTTCTTTTAAATGTGTAGATAGAGAAAAACCCTGGCTGACTGCCCACCTCTGTTGTTACTGGGAATTCCATGTTCTGCTGTCTTATCTCTGCATCTCTCTATAGGCCAGGATCGTGGTGACTTTATCCTAGCTCTTGTTGGTAAATGTTGGCTAAGTCTTAAAGTCCCTTTCCTCCCTCAGTCAGATTAGCACTCTTCTGGCTCAGTTATGTTGTAATGTGACCCTAGCTATAGGTCTGGCGATTTGTAGAAGGGGTGGGGGTAGATCCTGAGGAGGTGTGCATGCTCTTGAAAAACAGACACCCTCTTCTTTGAGCAGGAGAAGAGGGTGTGTCCTTGCTTTTAATAAGAAGGAGAGACTACTTCCGAAGACTCAAAAGTTCAGGAGGACATGGAGTTCTCAAGTTCCCAAATGCTTCAACCAGATGTCTTCATCTTGTCCCAGGGTTCCACCTTCTTAACCCTGGCTCTGACCTTGCTGGGGTTGAGAATTAATCTTCCTTGGAGTTTCACTACCTTTATAGTTAATCTTGGCTTGATCTCAGCTCTTTCTGTAAGAGAAGAGAATCTCTATGTTACCAAGAATGCTCTGACTTTCACTCTATGCCTTTAGTTGATGATTAATCACCTCGGCTTTACGTTCTTTCTTTCATTGGGCATCAAAAGCAGTCAGTAAGAGCCAACCAATTTTATTGTCTTTACAATCATTACGTCTCTTGAGCTTCTCAGAAACCGGAGACATTATACCTGTAATATTCTTCTATTGCTCTCTCATTCCAGTGCATGACTGGTGTACATTTTTAAAATTGCACTGCTTCAGCATGCGGGGGGCTATCTACTCCATCTATCTCAATTATGGGGTTCTCATTGTCACCCAGTGGGTGATACTGAGGCAGGATAGCAAGAAGTTAGGAAAATTCCTTGGCAAGTGGGATGGGGAAACTAAGACAGATAGCTGATTCAAACTGGCCTCCATCAAGCACCCCAACTCACCTGCCTTTTCCCTTGCAGACCACTCCCTTAAGCATTAAACCCCTGGGAAAATAAGGTTCTGATCAGCATCAAATAATCTTAGGAACAAGCCTTGGGTCTGTTGACCACAGAGACAGAGTTTTAGTCTAACTGAAGATAACGTCTAGGCCTCAGTTGTGTTTCAGCTCCAGACCCAGAAAAGCAGCAAAACCAGACAAAGCGACATCAGGGCCAGATGCAATAACTAATGACCCTTCCCCTACCGCTGACCAATCAGTAAAGACCATGAACCCCTGAAAGGACCTCTGAAAGCTGATGAATATTCTATTGAGATCCTCCCCGAGACCTCTCCTAAAATTCCTACCTTTAGAAAACAGATAAAAATGCTTATGATGAGACCAGCCAGTGTGGCTCAGCTGTTGACCATTGGCCTATGATCCAAGAGATCACGGTTCGATTCCCGGTCAGGACACGTGCCCGGATTGCAGGCTCGATCCCTGGTGGGGGGCATGCAGGAGGCAGCCCATCAATGACTCTCTCTCATCATTGATGTTTCTACCTTCTCTCTCCTTCTCCCTTCCTCTCTCTGAAATCTATAAAAATGTATTTTGAAACAAAACAAAACAAAAATGCTTATGAAGGACTAGGTGTGCACTCTCTCTCTGGAGCACCCCTTCGCCTTTCTCCCACCCTTCTTTCAGGCACATACCTTTGCTTTCCTTCTCCTAAGCTCCAAGGGCCCTTCTTTTGTCTCTGTAATTTGTTCGAGTCCATGCAGCCCAGCTGACTCACTTCTTTTACCTCTGTGATTTTCCTTCCAAAAGGCCAAGGCAGCTCTCTGAGCAGATTGCTCGGTTCTTCTAAATAAACTTCTTATGTTAGAGTCCCTGGCTCTGAATTCTTTCTTTGCCGAACTCAAGAACTGAGGTCTAACACTGCCACCAACAATGCAACCCTGAAATCCCATTTTAGAGTCTGCTTCCTTGAACCACTCCTGACTCCAACTGTTTTAGGTCATGATCCCCGGGAAACTTTTTCAGACAGAGGAAGTTTATTGGAAGAGCTCTTGGTAGCAGCACAACGTGGAAGTGAGGGAAGCAGAACTGGGCGGAAGGAAGAAGTTCAACTGTAATGCTTTTGCAAGAAAGGCAGAAGCCAATCCTTTCCAAGCTGGGTGGGCCCTTCATAGATGTTTTGAATTGGGGCATGAAGGCTGTTCTTTGTACCCCTCCATCGACCAGTCATTAGAGGGCAGGTGATTTTGGACACGGTAGCTAGCTCTCTCTAGCTGAGGGCAATTTTGTGTAAGGACTCACAGATGCAGGCAGGGTGATTTTCCCAGTCCCCAAATGTACAATGAGAAGCCACATATTTTTTAGTTGATAGGATTTCCAAAGTGGTCCCTTGGCCTATGGGGTAAGAGCTAGTGCAATAGGGAAGGCCAAGTAGGAGTTTCTGAAACTGCTCCCCTCCATTTCCAGACAAGGTAGAAAATCGAAGTTGTATTGCATCCTGGGGGGAAAGGCAAAAGTTAGATCCTCGAGGCCTCATTCTGGAAGCTATCCCAGCTCTAAAGCTCCCTGTGGGATGAGGGAAGGTCTGTGTTGAAACTATACTATGGCCCACTCCTTCCCTCCACCCAATCTTGCTTTCCTCACTCCCTATAAATCTCCTGCACACAAATCTCTGGCTTATGACCTGCTTCCTGAGGAACCCAACCTGGGATACTGCTCATTACATATACTGAGAAAACACTTTGTAAAATTGCATTTACTGTGAAATCCTGTTTACAGGGGGCAGTAGAGAGGTAGCAGTTAAGAGCGCAGCTTTTGGAGTCCAAGGGCCTGTGTTCTAATCCAGGCTCTGGTACTTACAGCAGGATGACCACGGGAAAGTTGTTCAGTTTCTCTGGGCTTCAGTGAATCCACTGTAAAATGGGAATAAGATCTGTACTTATCTCATAAGAATATAAGCACTTATCAGTATGTATGAATGTTGTGAGAATTGAATAAGTTACTATGTGTAAAGCATTTACCACAGTACTGACCCATGGCAAGTCCTCAAAATTAGTTGTAATTATTATGTCAAATTATTTACCTCCACATTGCATAGATACATGAAGGATGTAACCAAGGTTGACAGTGGTTGTCTCTCAGTGTTGGTATTTCTGTTTTTTTCTTACTACTTTTTGGTGGCGCTTGAATTTCCTATAAAAAGTGTTTGCTATGTTTATGTGCATAGAGAAAAAAAAAATTTATGTATTTATTTATCTTAAATATATCTTTATTGATTTCAGAGAGAGGAAAGGAGAGGGAGAGAGAGAGAGAGAAACATCAACGACGAGAGAGTCATTGATCGAGCCCGCAACCTGGGCATGTGCCCTGACCGGGAATCGAACCCTGATCACTTGGATCCTAGGTTGACGCTCAACTGCTGAGCCATGCCCGGCTGGGCAAAAAACATTTTAAAGGGAACTAGTCACCTTGTCAATGCTGAAGACACCAGGCTGACTCCTACCCCCGCTCAGACCTTCCATCTGCCCCTGTGCTGCAGTCTTCCATCTCTGTCAGGTCTGGGTTTCAATTCTTCACGGGTACTACTCATCAGATCACTCTAAACACCTCACCCTGTGGTCCTCAGGAAAATAGTGTATGTATTAATTTTCTATTGCTGCACAACAAATTATCTAGCAGGTTAAAACAGCACTCATTTATTAGCTCCCAGTTGTGTAGATCAGAAGACTGGTTTGGCATGACTGGAAGAGTGTGACTCTGTTCAGAGTATCACTGGCTAAAATCCAGGGTTCAGCAGGACTGGCTTCTCACCTGGATGCTCTAGGGGAAATATCTGCTTCCAAGTACACTTTTATTCTTGACAGACTTCAGTTCCTTGTAGAACCGTAGTCCCATTTCATTGCTGAAAGTCAGCTGAGACATCTCAGCTCCTAGAGGCTGCCTGCATTTCTTGTCTCATGGCCCCACCCAACTTCAATGCAGCAGTGACACATTGGGAAGCTCTGCCTCCCTCTTCTGCCACCAGCCAGAGAAAATGCTCAGCTTTTAAAGGGTTTGGATAATTAGGTCAGGCTCATGTAGCAAATCTCCCTATCTTAATTAATGTCAACTGAGCCGAACATAACCTGGTCATGGGGTAAAATCCATCATAAAACCAGGGAACTATGCAGGACATGTCCAGCAGGGGTGGGGAGTCAGGGAATCACCTTGCAATTCTGCCTACACACTGCCCCAGTATCTAGCCCAGGCCAAGGAACCCTACCCTCATCACCCTAACCCCTGGACATAATAGTGAGTAGGAAAGTAAGGAAACCTCTTGGGTTTCCTCAACAGTTACAGGAGCGGGAATGGGTGTGGGATGTGTAGGGGCAGAGAGCTAAAGAAAGAACTGGGCAGGGCAGCCAGCTGGGTGGAGGGTTTAGACCCGGGACAACTTGCCCAGGCCAATGACCTGTGTGGAAGTGAGGCAAGAACAGCTGCAGGGGCCCAGACATGGCTTCTGGAAGTCCCCCAGAACTTGAATCAGAGCTGACAAGAAGGCGAGGACAGAAAATAGGAGGAGCAGTGAGAGAGCACCTTTTCCAAAACACTCTCAGCAATTTTTATAGTCAGGAGTTGGCATGAACAACAGTCCCCAAACTCATCTAATCCAATGCACTCATTTCTGCAACAAACATTTCTAAACGCCCTCTACACATATGCATCCATTTTAAAAAAATCAGTATAATGCCCTAGCTGAATAAAATAAAGGGGAGGTAATTCACAACAAAATAGTATTTCATTTCAACATGTAAATGCTTGGGCAGGAGCAAAATGAATAGGAAGATGCTTGTGTCTGCCTGTGGAATCACATGAAAGTGACAAGCTGCAGTGCAGACTGACTGAAGCAGGTGTTGTTCCTGAGAGCGACGAATGTTGGTACTGGAGATGTGACTTTTTTTTTTTTTAATATGTCTTTGATTTCAGAGAGAGGAAGGAAGAGGGAGAGAGATAGAAACATCAATGATGAGTCATTGATCGGCTGCCTCCTGCATGTCCCCCACCAGGGATGGAGCCCGCAACCCAGGCATGTGCTCTGACCCAGAATCGAACTGAGATCTCCTGGATCCTAGATTGATGCTCAAACGCTGAGCCCCGCCCCGCCGGGTGAGATGTGACTTTTAGCGGCCACTCTCAGATTCCCCTTTCCCCCATCTCTTGGCAATTACTTACCTACTTTCTGTCTCTTTGCATTTGCCTATTCTGGACATTTCATATAAATGGAATAATACAGTATGTGATTTTCCACCCATGAATCTTTTTGTACATTTTTTGTGTAGATCTATATTTCTAATTCTCTTGATTATATGCCTGGGAGTAAAACTGCTTGGCCATATGGTAACTATGTTTAATTTTTGAGGAATTGACAAACTATTTTCCAAGTAGCTGCAGCATTTTACATTACTACTAGCAATGTATGAGGGTTCTGATTTTTCCACATCTTTGCCAACACTTATTTTTCTTTAAAAAAAAAAATCACAGTCATCCTAGTGGGTGCAAAGTGGTATCCACTATGGTTCTGATTT